GAAATTGTTATAAATTTTCAAAGATGGAGATAACAAGCTACGTATAAATTGTTAACAACTAGTAGGGGTTGTTTTAACCCTCATACCCTTTGTTTCCTTGTGAATTAAATCCTTTAAATTAAACCATTATATGATTTGAATTAGGCTTTCTTTTACAAGCATGTTGTGTAATTAAAATCTGAAATTTTGTAACTTAGACAGAAATGATGTGTTATGTGTTTTAAATATAGAATTTGAGCTCTTAAAATGTTGTTGATATTTATGTGCCTAAAAACTGAAATTCTAGTAATCACAATGGTTGTATTGTTATTGTTTGACAAGTTAGAAATTATATATTTAGTTCACTTCAATTATGGGCTGTTTTGTTATAAGTTTGTTGTTGTAATAGTGTTCAAAAACTAAATGATACATTGTCCTTGAAAGATGCTGCCATGATAAATTTGCTGCCAAAGTGTGTCCATAGAATTTCTATATGTTTTCTATGTCTAATAACTTCTATATTGTATAGATTAGATGACAACATACTTGTGTTGATTTCTTGAAGGCTGTGATAATATGTCATTGTGAAGCTTGCTGCCATGATAAATTTGTTGCCAAAGTATGTTTATAGAATTGAATTTTGATGTGAGTAATGATGTGGTATTATAATATTGTGAAACATGTGTCAATCATGCATTACATTGGGAAGTAATGGGACAAAACTGATTTGTTAAGGAGGAGTTTTGACTGGAAAACAAACTGAATTTTTTTTGGGAAATATTTTAAGAAAAAGATTTTGTGAAAACCCGGACGCCAAGGGGGTACTGAGAGTCCGTGGCATTAATGTAGCTTAGAGAGAACTAAATAGATCGCCTTAGTGTGGTTGAGCCAACTTGGCCCCAAATGATGCCACGGGGTTACCAAGGGTCAGTGACAGTGGCCAATCCTTCTCTTGTATCACCAAGGGGGTACCGAGGGACGGGTTACGTTAACGATTTGAAAAGTGAAGTTTTTGAAGTGAATTGGAAAAAATAGAAGCGATATTGCATGACATGGCACCCATTGCATGGCATACCCATTCATGACTTGGTTTATAAATATGATATTGTGGTTATTTTTCTCTCGGAATAGCATAGGACCAACTAAGATATTGATTGGAAAGAATGTGGTAATAATGGAGTAATAGAGATGGATATTCTCAGTTTGTGTTTATGATTAGACATGAGTGGTTATCCTTTTGTCTAGGTGTAGTAAATCATTAATACTAAAGGGTTCCTTAGGTATTAATAGAGGGATAGTCTTTTCACGGTACAGGGGCATACATTTAGACTGATGGTTGTGATAATGAGAAATGTGATTCTTTGTATAAAAGGTCGTAATAAGGGAAATGGTTTAGACTCTGTGTATATGGCACTTCATATTCTCCTATGTTGACTGTTTTGTGAAACAGCATGATGATTTGATGATTATTCTCCCCTTGACTTGTATAACTCCCTTTCTGTTTCCTATTCTTTGTTTGGATATATTCATGGGGGTATTAAGGAGTGGTGGTTAGGCATTTCCTGCTGAGCTGTGGTTGCTCATTCCTATTATATATAAAATTTTTTCAGGTTATGGACAAGAGGTCGTAGAGGGAATTCCTCCACAGCCATGGATGGATGTTGGGTTCTATTTGGTTATATATCTTTGTATAAATAGAAAATGTATATTTTGAGACCAACATGTATATTTGTAAATATTCTTCCAAATAGATTTTGTTTAATTATTGTAATTAAAAGATTATGGGGTTTTACGTATGAAACCTACTTTTATATTTTCAGATAATGTGTGGACAGGGAAATGAACTTTATGTGTGCATGTTGGGACAAGGTACTTTATTTAACATGACTTTTGAAACAAGGGATTTTCTTATTATCAGCCTTGAGTATTAAAGTTTTATCTAAAATTTTTTAACAGTGTTCCAGGTCTCGGTCAGACATTTCTGAATATGAGTATTTCTTTGTTTTGTTTTATGTTCACAACTTGAATTACGGTCTAAGGTCGAGACAAGTAAAGAAAGTAAAGAAGGTAAAAAAAATAAAATATTTAAAGTTATATAAAGGATAGCTGTGACATTTTAAATTAAGGAATTGCACATTAATGAATTCAAAGATTTTGTTGTCATTTCATTTAAAAGAAAATGATAATGTAGTGTAATTGGAGAAAAGTGGAGTACGAATATCTCCTTATATTATTACTATATTGTATAATATATTCTAACCTTATATAGGATTACTATATATAGATTATAACCTTGCATAGGAGTGCCATATACATATAAAGTTTACTTATTTATTATACATAATTCCTCTTATATAAACCCGTCTTATATACGTCAATATATTAGAGCATTTTCAAAATGCATAATGCTATATTTCCATGCCAAATCTATATGTTGAGAGGAGTTACAATGTCAAAATGCTATATTTTTACAATTCTTCTCTAATTGTGCATTTCATCCAAAATGTTATTTTTTGACGCAACAACCCTTTCATGTTTTGAGAGCCCATTGAAGTGCCTTATTTTCATTTTAATAAATTTTGACAATCTCAAAATATGAGAGGTATTTTGAGAGAGCCATCGGAGGGCCTATTTTTAGGTTTTTTGAGAGGCCATTGGAGTGCCTTATTTTCATTTACCTGTTATATTTTAAGTTTGAGAAAGATGCTCTTATAGTGTTATATACTATCTTTTATGTTTCTAAATATATGGTAAAATATATTATTATTGTATTGTATAATATATTATAACCTTATATAGGATTACCATATATAGGATTCTAACATAAGATTACCATATATATAGTCACTATATATATAAGGTTTACTTATTTATTACACATAACCCTTCTATATAAACCCCTCCTATATACATCAATATCTCATGCACATCAATAATAATAATAATAATATATATATATATATATAATACAATACAATATAGTAATAATATAATCTACAATATATTCTATCAGAATGCTCATGGCGTTTCTCTTGGTTTTTACAATTTTAACTGAATAGATTATATTGAATTCAGCCTCATCTCTGTTTGGATACTGGGATCCATATCCACATTCATGCTACCCTATGAATAATTAAGTTCACTTTTTATTTTATTTTTTTATGAAATTTTCTAATTCCAAATCAAGAAATTTATGTATATATTTATTTTGTCATACTTTAATTTCTTCTACATAAAATTATCTTCAAAAAGTATCTATAGCACACAGTTAGAATCAATTCAATCCCATTTAGTACGTTAAATGAAACTGATTTGTATTTTCTCTCCCTATATAGTTTTGCTGTAGTTAACATTAGGGGTGGTAATTGGTGGGTTTGGGTGGGTTTGGAATGGGTTATTAACTCATTATCAACCCACAAATAGTGAGTCAAAAATAGGTAACGCCTTAAATAGGCATATCAAAATGGGTTAACCCATTTTAAGTTTTAATTATATATATATATATAATTGTTGATTAAGTTGTATGGTGAATTTTTCCAAAGGAAAAAAGGAAAAAAAAACTTGTAATGAACAAAATCAAAAAATTAATGTAAGAACAAATTATATATATATATATATATATATATATATATATCTTTAGAAAAAAAAGTTTTGAGCAGGCGTTATATATATATAATGCATATGTATATGCATATTATATATATCTATAGAAAAAAAAAAAAAAAAAATTAAGGGCAGCAGGTTCAATAAAAAATTAAAAAAAAATAAAAATTAGTCCATTTATACAACAATTCACAAGTTACTGAATACAAGCAAATTCCCTTTAAAAAAAAAAAGTTTCTGTTTCCAGGATCCAAACAATTCAAACCCCAAAAAAATAAATCTGGAAAAGGATTTTCTTTCAAAACAATAGGATATGAAAACAACATAACACTAAATTATATATATATATTAGATTTGAAAATTGTGAAGAGTCATTTTTACCAATAAATATTTTTATTTTATTACCGTATCATTGTCAGGTGTCTTATTTTTTTTTTTAATAAATTTATATATAGGAAGTTGAAGAGTGATGGAGAGAGAGAGTTATCACTGAAGAAAGAAAAAAAAAGGGGACTTTGTTTGAGCCGGTTAAGATGGGTATTCGTTATTGACCATTGAATTGTATTAGTATCCACTTTTTATCATTATTGATCCACTCATTTTATTTCAAATAATTTAATTTTAATGAGCAATTTGAGCAGTACCTTTAATAGATTTGGACTTAAATTGCCACCTAGTTAACATGTTTGAAAGTGTTTTTAAAATTTCAAATAAAATATCATACCATTCCAGCCAATCGATGTGAATCTCAGACTATGTGATTGTAATTTCAAAACTTGAAGCAGATAAATATCCACAATTTCAAGACTTGAAGTGAAATTAATTTTCAAACATGCAAGTACAAGGCAATGAGAAACTTCTGTACGTAACTCATGCTAATTTAGAATTTATATAGCAGTCGGTGATTCACAAAAAAAAAGTAAACCTAAAACACATAAATATTGGTACATCCTCACATGTCCCCACTAGTGTGTGTGTATATATAATATAAAAGATGCTATCTAGCATTTTAATTTCAAAAAGTAAAACTGCATGCCTAAAGTCATCTGTATAACAACCTCTTAAAATTTAAAAAATACATGCATAATTAAATGTATAGATATAGAGAGAGAAAAAGAGAATATGATACGTACGTACATGATGATGATTGTGAGACAGATCGAATTGCAACAGTTTTAACTGCCTCCTCCATGAGTGAGAAAGACAGAGAAAAGCGGTGAAGTGAAAGAAAAGGAATTGAGTAACATGATAAAGTTGACAAACTACACAACAAACACGGCGCTTTTAACGCTACTTTTTCATGAGCCCCATCTCATGGAAGGACTTTTGAGTGGCTTTACCCCCCAAACTTCACGCCTCAAACATCGCATCTCTTCCCCCTTTCCTTCCCTTTAAATTCCTCTCCCTTCCCCTATCATTCCCTCATTCCCTTTCTTGTGCTTAGTGAAAGAGCTAGATTATAGAGAGAGAGAGAAAGAAAAGAAAAGAAAAGAAAAAAAAAATGGCAAGAACTCCGTACAGCTCTCTTCTGTTGCTTGCGACTCTTCTCTTCTTGATTACATTCTCCAATGTGGTTGAGGTAAATAAATCACACTTGCTTCATTTCCACTGAATTTATCTTTATATATTTTCTAATACGTTAATTTTCTTTTCCTTCTTTGCTCATTCTTGTAAATACAGGGTTACAATAAGCTCCGCCCTCAAGGTATGTGAAATTGGTACAATTTCATTAGGTATATAATTTTTTATCCGTACGTCACGATTTAATTTGACAACTTTGTTGTTATAAATTGCAGATTGCAAGCCAAGATGTACACATCGGTGCTCGGCGACATCGCACAAGAAGCCGTGCATGTTTTTCTGCCAAAAGTGCTGCTCCAAGTGCCTGTGTGTGCCACCGGGAACTTATGGAAACAAACAAACATGCCCTTGCTACAACAACTGGAAGACCAAGGAAGGCCGTCCAAAATGCCCTTAGAATTTACTTTTTAGTATTTTCATTAAATCACTTTTACCTAGTAGGATAACCATGGGCATTTTAGCCTAGTGTTAATCTACTGGCTTCCAAAGTAACGATCTAGTGTTACTTCAAGCCCTGTGAAGGTGGTTTCTACTTTGCTTTCAATAAATGTTCCCAAAAACATAGAAAAATCAATTGATACATTTTTCTATCTTTTTTACTTACATGATAAGTACTGCCCGTGTTTTGAGTACTACTGTGTTTGGATGCAAGATAGTTTTTTTTGTTTCATTTATTTGTTTTACACCAGAAATAATAGTGAATTATGGAATAATCACAAAGCTAGAGTTACTAAGATTGTGGTAATGGACTCATGGGTTAAGCATTGCCGCCCGCGATCTACCTTTGCGGATTTTGGGATTCCGAGCAAGCAGAGTTACAATAAGCATTGTCATTTTATTTAATCTCTCGATGGTTCTCATCAATAATTCAGTAGTAAAAATGTCGGTTTTTAACTGATTGGGTCATTAGTAAGAGATAGTTACTAAATGGTAAAATTAAAACAATGGGCTATTTATTGTGAGTTGGTTCAAGAATATTATTATACTCTATGTTTTAAAAACTTTCTGTTTTAAAAAATAAAAATCCCTTTCAAGAACTGTGACTCTCCTGACAAAAAAAAAAACTCTCTGGGGAACAATTCTATCGTACTCCTTTCTAATCATTATTAAAATAGAATACAATCATGAGCACCGCAAGCAGTATTAATGGTTTCATATCCGTACATGTACCATGGACTTTAGAGTTATTTCCTTGGGACTTGTGGCGATGGGCTTTGGTTTTTTTCTTTGAAGTGACGCTAATTGGCTGGCCATGTACGAGTATTTATATGATGGGCCCCACAGCAACGTAAACCGTGACTTTGTGTTTTTAAATACGGAATGCTATATATAAAAACTCGTGGAAGGCTTAAAAACAAGGAAAGCCCAAACCAGTTGCATTTAATTTGGGTCAATGCAGTAGCCGAAAGTGAAGGACTGAGGCAGGGAAGAGAGTGAAAAATAGAAAGGGAAACCCTTGCCTGCTCACTTATGAATATGATGAACTTGCTTTTTATCACTGAGATGGTGCAAAAATTAAAATGACATATGTTTTTAGATTATTAAAAAATTAGAGATTTAAAAAAATTATAATAATTAAAATATCTAAATAATAAAAATTACTAAATAAGATAAAATTGTTCTGCATTGATCTCCTTCACTTCCAAAAAAAACTCGTCATGGACTTTAACTATGGATCACATATGAGTATGAATAAAATTTTATACCATTGAGTACTTGACCTTAATTCTTTGTAAACTTAAAATATATTATACATATGTATAATATATATACATATGTATTATATATCATATAATATACATATGTATTATATATCATATATATATTATATTAATTTTTTTTTCTTTCCTCCTTGATTTATTGATTTTGTTTCCTTCTTTCCTCTTATATATATATTATATATATAAATACTTAATTGCCTAATTCCAAAAGAATACCCATTGTGATATATCTCTTGATTTCCCTTGGAGACTCGGAAGTGAAGAAATTTTATGAGTCATTAGATTCGATCTCATTCGAGCCTAATTTACTGGACTCCAAAATTAGGTTGGAATGGCGGCAGGTATCGGAGCTCTTGTTGTTGGGCAATTCAATCACCCACAGTTAATCTAAAAGCTTAAACCCATTAGAAACACGACTTTCTTAAACTTATCAAAAAGTTGTAATTGGATATTGCGGGATGGACATTAAATTCCTCATAGAATAGATCTTATGAGGCCTAGATTGGTCAATTCTGGACATGTTTTCCAAGCAAACATGGAATCAACTCCTTACTCTCCAAACTGACTCTCGTCATGAGCAGAACTAATGGCCTCTTGTGTAATTTCTTCCATTGGAGGAGGAGGTTGAAACTCATTTTTTGAAGACAATGATATGCAGTATAGGGCTGAACCTTCTTATACCTTAGGCGATTATTCTGGTACGATTGAAATTGGATCTCCTCATAATCTAGTGGATGAAACTTGACTTTAAAAAGACGCCAACCAAGATCGTATCGGTGCCTTCCTTTGTCGTGCACGAGTAACCCACAATTGATCTCACCGATTAAAAGTTATTCCCTTCAATTTGTGTGGACTGTCCAAATATTCTTCAAAGAGATCATAAAAACTAGGATGGTCAATTTTTATACGAAAAATCCTAAAAGCATAATCTTTATCATCACACAATATATTGTGCGTCTCTATGATTCCCCTAAACACAACTTAATTTACAAACATGACGAACACGATTTAAATTGTCATTGCACAACCTATTGTTATCGCGGTTCGACTCTAGACCCAACTTAAGCTTAACAAACATTGCTTGAATATCTTGTAACATCTATCGAATTTTATGTTGACAATCTTAAAATTAGGCCCTGAAATAGCCACTCCCTTTCAATCTTCGTCGCAAGTGAGATTGTCATGAAAACGATCAATTACTATTAATTCAAGGAAAGACAAGACACTGATATTAACTGACGTAATCGAAATATGTGAATTTTCACAATGAACAATAAATATTTGAATTCACAAAGAAAGAGATAAATTCACAGAAAAAATTTAATATTATATTAATAATTGAATGAATAAAATTAATTGTGCTCTTTACTAAACATATTTATAATAAAATAAACAATTTAATAGCAAAAAGAAAATAATTTCTCAGAGAAATTAACTAAAATTAAATTTCATATAAAAATTAAATAAAAAAATAAATACTAAGTAAAAATCAGTAAATAGGATAAAATTGTCTTGCATCACGATTGGCATCCAAAGCAACCACGGAACTGCTGGTTTGAGTAGCCATTGATAACAGTCATGTTTGTCTGATGGTCATTAACGACCATTATTAGTTGTAGTGTAGTCGGGCTACTCCACAAATATTGGTTTTATTCTGCCATTGGGCTTATATACACTGTAATTATTTTAGGATCCTGCTTGGGCATCACTGGGCCATTGTAAATATTCACATATAAATCGTATTCGTCGTGTATATAACCCTTTCGAGAAAGGAAAAATAAAAAATTATGTGATTTTGAATTGGGAAATTAAACATAGGGTAAATTGCATTGATATCCCTTGAGATTTTGATCAGTGTTACTTAGTGGACGATCAATGATTTTTTTTTACATTGATACTCCTGAGGGTTCAAAAATATGTATCAGACACCCCTTCAGACCTATAAAATCATATGAAATCACTTTTTAACCCTTTGACTTGTCAATAATTCTATTTAAATTATTAAATTACAAATTTAACCTTCTAACTAAATTTAATGGACCAAACTAACCTCTTAATCTCTTCTATACGTATAGATGTAGTTTATATATAACAATACTTATATCACTATAACCACCACCACAATATAAAAATAAAAAATAATTATTTTGAAATAGTCAGATAATTGTACATCACCAAAATCACCACCACCACACCAAAACACCACAGTAAAAAAAATAATTAAATAAATAAAAAGGGGGTAAATTGCATTGACACCCCCTTAAGGTTTCAGTCAATATTACTCAGATGCAGGTCAACAACTTTTTTAACAATGACACTCCCTGTGCTTTAAAATATCATAATTGCTCTTAATTATTTAATTCAATTAATTTACAAAATATCAGATTTGTTAATTGACGAAACTGCCTTCATCATTTAGCCTCTTTTTCTACCCTAATCTACAACTTTTTTATTTTTTGGTTCATTTTAGTACCTAGCCACCGACACTCCCTCTATTTTCTCGATCTCTCTCATTCCCCTATTTCTTATTGTGTTTTTTTTTTTGGTAAATTGCATCTCTCGTCATTCTTCTTACAGGTGGAAGAGCTACCGGTGGCCGATGGAGGGAAACGTAACTGGCTGTGGAGGAGATGGTGGTCAGGGCAAGTTAATTCACAAAATTTGGGGGAAAAATGTTGCGGTATGGTGGTGTTGGATTTGTGATTGAGATGAGTAAGAAAAGGAAAGTGGGTGTGAAAGGAGATAAGATAATTGGTGGGAATGGTGAGATAAAAACAACTATGGCTATTATTATTTATATTTTTGTTCTATTGTAATGATGGTGGTGGTGTCTGGGTTGGACATGGTTTTTTTTTTTTCTATTGTGGTGGGTCTGGGCTGGCCATGGCTTTTTTTTTTTTTTTTTCCTACTCTAGTGGTGGTTATTGCATGTGGTGTTGTTTAGGTGTGGTTGTGGTGATTATGGTAGTGTCTAGATTATCAGGGTATTTCTAAAGTTGTTTTTTTTTTTTTTTTTCTTTTTTTTCTTCGGTGGCGGTGGTTCTAGTAGCATTTGGGACGTATAAGTGTAGGTTGACTATGATTGTTTTCATTTTTTTTTTACTATTGTGGTGTTTGGGTGTGGTGGTGGTAGTTATGGTGGTGTACAGTTATATGACTATTTAAAAATAATAATAAATTTATTTTTATGTTATGTTAGTGGTTATAGTGATATAAGTATTGTTATATATAAACTATATTTATATGTATAGTAGAGATGAATATGTTAGTTTGGTCCGTTAAATTTAGATTGGAGATTAAATTTGAAATTTTATGATTTAAATAGAACAGTTGATAAGTAAAAGAGTTAAAAGGTAAGAGGTCTGAATGGAGTGTCAATGCATATTTTTGAAACTTCAGGGAGTGTTATTGTAAAAAAAAAAAAATCATTGATCGTTCGCTGAGTGGCGTTGACCAAAACCTCAGGGAATGTCAGTGCAATTTATCAAAAATAAATAAATAAAACAACCATGCTCAACCCATACTTATGAGTCTCAAACGCCACCAACACCACCATAATAGAAAGAACAAAAATAAAATAAATAAATAAATTGAAATATCTTGATAACCTAAACACCGTCAAATTCACTACAACCACACCCAAACAACACCACATGCAACAACCATTACTAGAGTATAAAAATAAAATAAAATAAAAAATAAATAAAACAACCCAGGCCAGCCCAAACCCACCATAACAGGAAAAAAAATAAAATAAAATAAAATAAAAAAAAAACAACAACCAAGTCTAACCCTGACACCACCACCACCACAATATAATGGAAAAAATAATAATAATAATAAAATTAAAATTAAAAACAACGATGGTTATTTTTATCTCATCATTCCCACCAATTCTCTTATCTCCTCTCACACCCACTTTCCTTCCTTTACTTGTCTTAATCACAAATCCAACACAACCACAACCACTGCAACATTTTCTCCCAAAATTTGCGAATT